TTGGGAAGATAAATAGAAAATAAAACATTACCGTGTAGAAAGACAGAATTGTAGAGGGGAAAGGTTTTCTGCAACATGAGATGAAAATGAGAAGATAAAAATTGAAGTCCCTGTCTGACAAGGTCACCCATGGGCGGGGAAGGCAGCAGAAGTGATGATGTGGACATGAGGTGACGACGCCCATACCTAATTTCTTCTTCGATTTTCATAGCGTATTTTTTTTTTTTTATAATAAAAAATAATTATCACTGGTGTTAGTATCTGTTTAGTGCTTGAGAAAGATCGAACAAGAAGGAGGTACAATTCACCTACCATCCAAAGGCAGTAAGCCCACCACTGGGTCACATAGGAGTATGCGATTTTCATAGCGTATGTTAGTACACCACTGAATTAAATTAAAGAAGGGTGGCGTTATTGTTGTTGTTGTTTTTTTTTTTATTATTATTTGGTTGAATAAAAAGGTGGGGTTTGTGAATTTGTGGTATTTGGTAATCTGAATTCTTACTTTTATGAGAAGATGCTATAAACTTTCAATTCAATGACAAAGATAAGATAAAAAAAAAAAAAATGACAGAAGCCATGTTATGACCAATTATAATATCTTGTTAAACCTGCTACCATAATGACAATTTATCCCAATAATTTAAGTATTTAAAGTAGTCATTTATTGTTCCATCTATCTTATAAAATATAAATTTCTCTAAATATTGTTTTAAGTCTTTGTAACTAAAAATTAAAAATTTTAAAAATTTTTAAGTATACTTGGGGTGAGATTATTGTCCTACTTTATTTTAATAATATAATACCGAAAAATATAAATGGGCATATTTACTCATGATTTTAAAAATAATATTTTTCTCTTTCCAAAACTATCCCCTTTTACTTCCTTTAACCTTTACCGTTGTAGCCCTCTTTTTATTCCATATTTTTCTCTCTCCAAAAATAAATTTGACTTTATTTTTCTTTTTCTTTAGAATAATCAAGTTAGTTTGACATAAAAAATACAAAAAATACAATTTTTAAATCAAATCATTCTTAATCACAATTAGTAATGAAAATAATAAAAGAGTCATTTTTTCTATCGAATAATCAAGTCATTTTTCTTTAGATTTCTTTATAGTTATTGTATATCCAATTCTTAAATAAAATATTTTCTTGTTTTAAAGGAGATCAGCATAAGTTTCAAATGATTTCCTAAACAATTAAGACATTTCATTTTTTTTCTGAATTGTCTAGCGCTTTAATGATTTGTATTTATCTCTTGACATTACATATTAAATAAATGTAATAATTAATTTGCAATGTAAAACAATAACTTTAACAGCAAAAATAAAAATCCAATCATATATATACTAAAAAACTCATAAAAACATAAAAATTTAGCAATGTATATAAAAAGAAAAGAAGAAGAAGAAGAAAAACAGAAGAGGATGGCCATGAATTAACCCAAGGAGGATGGCTTACCACAAATTAAGACAAGATGGCTTTGAAAACAAACGAACGGGAGAGGGGGCTATGTGCGGCAATTAAAAGATGAAATAGAAATAGGGCTACAACGGCAAGGGTTAAGACTTAAGAGAAGTAAAAGGGGCAGTTTTGAAAAGGAAAAAATATTATTTTTTAAATTATGAATAAATATGTCAATTCATAATTTTAGGTGTGATATTATCAAAATAAGATATGATAATAACCCCACTTAATGTATAAAAGATTTTTCTAAACTAACTACACCATCTTTTAATTATTTCGTTGAAAAAATCATCACCACTAAGAATTTTCAAGACTCTTGTTTTGGAAAATGACTAACACGAAAAGTCTAACCCATAAATATAGAGAGTGACTCCATAGGAATTAGCTAGGCAGCAATAATTGCAATTGTGTCCCTCACCCTCCTTGTCGATAGCTACAGGAAATCAATTGCCAGACCCGTTGAGAGAAACTGAATGCTGCCTTTCAAAATTTTATAACCTTAAGAAATTGGACAAATCATTTGTGATGGGATGAAAAACTGTAGATATGGTCATCATCATCGTTAACATTTAATAAAAAAAAAAGTTACGAAGACTTAAACAATATTGATAGAAATTTATATTTTATAAAATAGATTACACAATAAATATCTACTTTAAGTCCTACAATTATTGGGATAGATCGTTATTATGGTAGCAGGTCCAACAAGATCATTGTAATCGGCCATGACATGGCTTCTGACTTTTTTAATCTTTGTTGTTAAATTGAAAGTTTTTATTAACTTCTTATAAAATTAAGAATTCAGATTGCCACAAAGTCACAAACCCCACC